TCCACTAAAGCCAGGAGAAGCACCTAATTAACAAAGCATACTGGTGAATAACATATAAACCTAATACCAGACATTAATTTATACTATATGAAGGAAATTATGTGAAACTAATACCACAATATAAAACTTTATACATTATTACTAGAGATGAGCGAATTATTCAAAAATTCGATTCGGCTGATTCGCCGAATTTGCGGGAAATTTGATTCAATGCGAATTTATTCGCCGCAAATTTAACTTATTTAAAGGGTTTCTAGGCTTCAGAGAGCCTTTATATTAGTGCAGAACAATGTACCTTTAATTTAAATGCCCTTGGAGTCTGCTGGGGAAGAGAAATAATACTGTCAGTCAGTATGACATGCAGATGAGTGCCGTCGATCTTAGAATCACCGCACACTTCACTCATTTGGGCAGTCACGGGGCACGACGAAGAAGAAGATGAAGAAGAATGAAAAGAAGAATGAAAAGAAGAAGAAGAAGAATGAAAAGAAGAAGAAGAATGAAAAGAAGAATGAGAAGAAGAATGAAAAGAAGAATTAAAAGAAGAATGAAAAGAAGAATTAAAAGAAGAATGAGAAGAATGAAAAGAAAAAAAGAAGAAGAAGAAGAATGAAGAAAGAAGAAAGAATGAAAGAAAAAAAGAAAGAATGAAAAGAAGAAGAAGAAGAATGAAAAGAAGAAGAAGAAGAATGAAAAAAAGAATGAAAAGAAGAAGAAGAAGAATGAAAAGAAGAAGAAGAAGAATGAAAAGAAGAAGGATGAAAGAAGAATGACAAGAGAAAGAAGAAGAAGAATGACAACAAGAAGAAGAAGAAGAATGAAAAGAGAAGAATGAAAAGAAGAAGAATGAAAAGAAGAATGAAAAGAAGAAGAAGAAGAATGAAAAGAAGAATGAAAAGAAGAAGAAGAAGAATGAAAAGAAGAATGAAAAGAAGAAGAAGAAGAATGAAAAGAAGAAGAAGAATGAAAAGAAGAAGAATGAAAAGAAGAAGAAGAATAATGAAAAGAAGAATGAAAAGAATAAGAAGAAGAATGAGAAGAAAGAAGAAGAAGAAGAATGAAAAGAAGAAGAATGAAAAAAGAATGAAAAGAAGAAGAAGAATGAAAAGAAGAAGAAGAAGAAGAATGAAAAGAAGAATGACAAGAAGAAGAAGAAGAATGACAAGAAGAAGAATGAAAAGAAGAAGAAGAAGAATGAAAAGAAGAATGAAAAGAAGAAGAAGAATGAAAAGAAGAATGAAAAGAATAAGAAGAAGAATGAGAAGAAGAAGAAGAAGAATGAAAAGAAGAATGAAAAGAAGAAGAAGAAGAATGAAAAGAAGAAGAAGAAGAATGAAAAGAAGAATGACAAGAAGAAGAAGAAGAATGACAAGAAGAAGAAGAAGAAGAAGAAGAATGAAAAGAAGAATGAAAAGAAGAATAAAAAGAAGAAGAAGAATGAAAAAGAAGAATGAAAAGAAGAAGAAGAAGAATGAAAAGAAGAAGAAGAAGTAGAATGAAAAGAAGAATGAAAAGAATAAGAAGAAGAATGAAAAGAAGAAGAAGAATGAAAAGAAGAAGAATGAAAGAAGAAGAATGAAAAGAAGAAGAATGAAAAGAAGAATGACAAGAAGAAGAAGAAGAATGAAAAAGAAGAAGAAGAAGAATGAAAAGAAGAAGAAGAAGAATGAAAAGAAGAAGAATGAAAAGAAGAAGAATGAAAAGAAGAAGAATGAAAAGAAGAAGAATGAAAAGAAGAAGAAGAAGAATGAAAAGAAGAAGAATGAAAAGAAGAAGAAGAAGAATGAAAAGAAGAAGAAGAAGAATGAAAAGAAGAAGAAGAAGTATGAAAAGAAGAATGAGAAAGAAGAATGAGAAGAATGAAAAAGAAGAATGAAAAGAAGAAGAAGAATGAAAAGAAGAAAGAATGAAAAGAAGAATGAGAAGAATGAAAAGAAAGAATGAAAAGAAGAATGAAAAGAAGAAGAAGAAAAGAAGAATGAAAAGAAGAATGAAAAGAAGAAGAATGAAAAGAAGAAGAATGAAAAGAAGAAGAAGAAGAATGAAAAGAAGAATGAAAAGAAGAATGAAAAAGAAGAAGAAGAAGAATGAAAAGAAGAAGAAGAAGAAGAAGAATGAAAAGAAGAATGAAAAGAAGAAGAAGAATGAAAAGAAGAATGAAAAGAAGAATGAAAAGAAGAATGAAAAGAAGAAGAAGAAGAATGAAAAGAAGAAGAAGAAGAATGAAAAGAAGAATGAAAAGAAGAAGAAGAAGAATGAAAAGAAGAAGAAGAAGAATGAAAAGAAGAATGAAAAGAAGAAGAAGAAGAATGAAAAGAAGAATGAAAAAAGAAGAAGAAGAAGAATGAAAAGAAGAAGAAGAAGAATGAGAAGAAGAATGAAAAGAAGAATGAAAAGAAGAAGAAGAGGAATGAAAAGAAGAAGAAGAAGAATGAAAAGAAGAATGAAAAGAAGAAGAAGAAGAATGAAAAGAAGAAGAAGAATGAAAAGAAGAAGTATTCCAGTACAGCAAAAAGTGTATCTGCAGAGAGCTCCGCTATTTCTGACAGTTCTCTGACAGTTCCTTCACATTTACAGCGGTTGAAACATTGTATCTATTTATTTCCGAATAAAAACATCTGTATCCTAAATGGAAACAAATAGATACAATGTTTCAACCGCTGTAAATGAACTGTCAGAACTGTCAGAAATAGCGGAGCTCTCTGCAGTGACACTTTTGCCGGCTGATCGGGAAAAATTCGATTCGTGCACCCGAAGTTTGCTAAAATTCGGATTCGATGCGAATCGAATTTTTCCTGAAATTCGAAACGAATTCCACTTCGCCAGGTTCTAATTATTACATGTGTTCAGAACTTCAACACAACACAATACCACTGCAAACTTTAATTACAAGGGCATAAGAAATAAATAATACATTTTCAAGTTTTATATTGTGGTATTAGTTATAATAATAACATATGCTTTATATCAGGCTTCAGTAGTGACACTGCTCCTGTCAGTCCTGCGCTGGGAGCAGAGCTGTGACAAGATAAAGAGGGGGCAATTTATTTATATTGGTGGGGGGGTGCTTGAACTCACACAGGGCTAGCACAATACTGGATCACGATAGGCTCTTACAGATTCTTGCCCAGTCAACCATAGCAGGTCACCATCAGACCAACCTAACGTGGGGTCTCAGTAATGGACATATCCCCTCTCTGCCCAGCCAGTTTATGGCTGTGCAGTTTCTGGAGAAGATACAGGCATAGTTCCGCTCCGATGTTCAATGCTGATGTCAGCTCTGGAGGTGGTGCCCAATTCTTCTGACAAGTGTGCAGAGGATGCTGCTGTGGCCCGACAGATGAGATCTCTGCTATACTGGGGCAGAGCTGGGACTTGTAGATTCTTACCAGCTGAGACATGCAGTTCTCTATAGTCAGGGCAGTGTTGGGACTTGTTGTTTCCCATCAGTTAGGGGAAATTCTAGGACTTTTAGTTCTCCACCAAACAGGGGGAAGTGCCGGGACTTGTAGTTTCCCACCAGAATGAGTGCAGTGATGGGTATTGTAGTTCCCCCACCAGAATGGGTACAGTGCTGAGACTTGTAGTTCCCCACCAGAATGGGTACAGTGATGGGACTTGTAGTTCACCACCATTTGGGAACAGTGATGGGACTTGTAGTTGCCCAGGAGGCAAAGAACACTGCTAGGACTTTATTTTTGTAATTGTATTCTGCATGAAACATTTAACAGTGTCATTTCATGAGGTAATTTACAAGTGTTATAGGAGCAGAATTAGGGGTGGGGCACGGCAGGGGTTTGGGTGGGGCAACTGATGGCGAGCAACTCTTAAGGCTTGGCTAGGAGCTCAGGATTTGAAATTTTGAGCCCTGCTTTATATAGTACAACATTCATTTTTAATGTCTGGTACAAGTGCCCAAACAAAATCCAATACACTGCCAAAAAAAAGTTTAAATGAAAAAAAAAAAAAGAATCTCCAAAGTGCTTTCTTTCACTATCAGAAGTTAGACTCCTCCATGGCACACTCTTCAAACCAAAAGCCCCAGGGACTCTTACTAGTTCATTAGACCTCAGAATGCAGGAGGCAATACACAATGTGTATGGAAATCCCAGGATCAATGATATCACCAGTAATACTTCTATTTGCAATGAGGCACAGCAATTCTTGTCCCGTTTGTATGAAATGAAAGGAAGACGGGTTCAGATAGTGCAGATATATTCAAGGCTTTTATTTAAAATACACACTTTGCAATGCTTCTGCCACACTCAGGGTGTGTTGATGTCAGCTCACTAAGCTCCACGGATTTCCATACACAGGTGTGGCTTGACCTTCTGAATTCTGAGGTCCAATGATTTGGTAAGTGTCTCTAGTGTTTTTGGTTGTGAAAGTGTGTCATTTAAAATTCTCACTTCTGATACTGAATAAGGCACTTCCGAGAGGATTTTTTGCACTTTATATAACTTTATTTAGACACTTGTTTCATTTAAAGTTTTGTTGGGTTTAATTTTGGACGTCAGTCCTACAAACTTTATTGTGGATTACATATATATTTTGTATCAGGTTATAATGCACAAAACTTCCTGTTTTTAATTTTTTTTCTATTTTAGGTTTTGTTAATTTGTGGGGTTCTTGCACAAAGAATAGATTTTTTTATAGAGATTTATTGTATTGCATATACAAGACAGCTGTAACCATGCCACTTGATTTTCTCTCTTTCAGCCACATCCCACTTTTCAACATTTCCATCTAATACGACCCATGAATTTATTTTGATGGGGTTTAATTTCCCATTGAAAATGATTCCAGCAATTTTATTTGTGTTATTAATGTCCTATTTAATAACCATGGCAGGAAATATCCTTATTATTACACTGTATCACCTGTATCCAAGTCTTAATACGCCTATGTATTTCTTTCTTTTTCACTTAGCAATTCTAGACATAATTTTCATCAATACCATTGTGCCAAAATTTCTAAGAGGTATCATTATTACGCCTAATAAAATATCTGTGGCTGGTTGCCTTGCTCAGAGTTACTTATATTTTTTAGTGGGAACCACTCAGTTTTTCTTGCTTGATGTAATGTGTTATGACAGATACTTAGCCATATGCCATCCATTGTATTATTCAGCTATAATGCGTAAGAAAATGTGTGTTCAGCTTGTTTTAGGTGCATGGCTGAGTTCCTTTTTCTGTATCCTATTTCCTACATTAATGACCATGAGACTATCATTCTGCTTCAGTAAAATAAACCATTTTTTTTGTGATATTGGTCCACTTCTGCGCAACTCGTGTTCTGACTCTTCCTTTGTTCAGTTACTTGTATTTTTAAGTTCAGGTTCACTTCTTTTTTCTCTTATGGTAGCTGTTATCTCATATACTCATATCGTGTTGGCAATTTCTAAGATCAGATCAGCAGAAGGCAGAAGTAGAGTGTTCTCTACTTGTTCTTCACATGCCATAGTCGTCTCATTTTTCTTTGGCAGCTGCATCTTTATGTATATAAAACCAGTTAGGTATCAAGCTGTCGATGAATATGACAAACTAGTAGCTGTTCTCAATACTATTATCGTTCCATTGATTAATCCATATATTTATACATTGAGGAACAAAATAGTAAATGATATACTGAGAGGAAGAAGAGGTAAATGTATTACTATATCAAAATGTATATTTCATTTTAGAAATACCAAAAAGCATATTTTTCAAACATATTATTTGGAGAAATGTCTAAATGAAATGAGTTATGTAAGAACCATATTACACTGAGGCTGATTTATTAAAGGAATTGAGAGTGATCACACAGTAAAATAATTAAATATTCACTTCAGTTATCCAATTACTGTATGTGAAAAGCAGAAAATTGTATACTTATTTTGTCTATACACAATTGGATAGTTGAAGTGAATCTTCACACAATTTGTTGTGTGATCATTCTCAGATCTTTTAATAAATCAGACTCAATGTATATCCTTGTTACATCTTTGTGAATATACATAATGAGTAGTCAAAAGACTAACAGGGCAGTACTTTTCCTGAAATGCAATATGTCATTTTTAATTCTACTTGTTAACATGTTTTTAAAATATTTTCATAGTTCGAAAAAATGGTTAGATGGGCTTAGTGACTCTTCAGCAATGCCAGCCTAGCACACCAAACATATTGGAGTTGATTTGCTAAAACTGGAGAGTGCAAAATCTGGTGCAGCTGTGGATGGTAGCCAGTCAGCTTCAAATTTCAGCTTGTTCAATTAAGTTTCGACAATAAAACCTGGAAGTTTATTGGTTTCTATGCAGAGCTGCACCAGATTTTGTACCACGCAGTTTTAGTAAATCAACATCACTGACTGGTGACATCAAAGCCAGAGGACTTGAAATTTCAGAATTAAATGTGTTCTTTAAGAAGCTGCCTGTCACGTACCTGATGGGAGACTGAATTGATGAGGTCGGCCTCACTTGTGTCACTAGCCCTGACCCCGCTGAGGTTGGAACAGAGGGAGTCTAGGGACCAGGGGGACAAGAGCGCCAGTGGTTGTTATTTGCAGCTCTTGCAGATGATGACCTTGGAAGGCAGATGATCCTCTGATTTAGGCACAGACAGACAGACAGACAGAGCAGGTTCTGTGGATTGCCAGACGTGCAGCAGAGCAAGGTAGGTAGCAAGGACAAGAGACTGGAGCAGGGTCATAGGATAGCCAGGGTCATCAACAGTCGGGCAGCGCGGTACAGAATCAGAAGGAAAAGCCAAAGTCAGGAGCAGAGTCGAAGTCAGGCACTTGTAGAAGGAGAGTAATCGAAGTCGGGTCAGGAACAAGGCGGGTTGGTAACGGAGGAATCGTACAGGAACAAGTAGGAACAAAGGGGGGAGCTGAAGACCAGTCAGCACTGAACCTGAGCAGAGGCACTTCTTAAATGGTCTGCCTGGCGCCAATCTTCGCCGTGTGTGTGCACGTGCGTGTGCGCTATCACACGTTCCTGCGCGCATGCGCACAATTCTTCTGAGGGAATTCCTATGCGCATGCGCGTTCCCGATCGCAATTCTTCTTGCCGGAAATCCTTTCCAGTGCCAAACATAATGCACATGTCCCTGCAAAACATAGGCTCTATTTTGTTAGGTGCCAGATTCCTCTTCATTGCCAGTACCTCAAGAAGGTGTTGGGGTGGAGTGGTTATGAGAAAGTTACTCCATTTGTTTCCCCTTTAACTAATTTATTACATATTTCAAAAGTTAAACTTCAAGAATAAGTCCTAAAATTCAGATTAAGGGTTCCTGCACACTGGGTTTTCCAAAAAACTTTCCTATAGAGCCTTTTAAGTGCAGGCTTTTTGGAGTATTTAGCATTTTTTTTTTACCAGAAAACCTCTGGTTTAAAAATGCAAACCAGAAGGTTTTTTTCTCTGTCTCTAAATGCTGAAATACTCTATGCCTCTAAACGCCTAATCAGCACAGACACATAGGAAAACACTAAGCTGCTTCTACAGGCAAAACTCCTGTAGAAGCAACATTTTTTAAGCCGAGTGTGCATGGATCCTAAACAAATATAGAATATGTTCAGGGTATGTTCAGGACCTGATTCAGTCTATGATTAGACAATTAAAGACCAACAACAAACTAATAAGGTCATACTGGAATCTTTGCTTTCTCTCCTCCTTTAAAGTGTCATTAAAACCCCCAAAATTTTGATGCATTCATGTCTTTACAAATATTACCTGTAGCTTGAAAAGTGAACTTTTCATAACTCAGTCTGACAAAATCTGGTTGATCTTGCTGCTTACAAAGGCTCCTTTCTTGTCTTTGGCAACAATATCACAGCTGATCCACTGGCTGTTGTGTTGCCTCCATAGCTGTGCATGTTCCCCCCCAGCACCATGAGAGGAAGCCACTCACTCCTTTCCCCTATGGGGGATAGTCGTCCCACGTGACTATCTTCATCATCTTGAGGGGTGGCCCCCAGCATGTGGAGTGACAGCTCCTCCTTCTCTCCCTGAAGTGTGACTGTTCATTTACATTTTAACTCTGCCTCTACAATTTAAAGAACAATTATTATTCCATGTATATTATTACAGTCATCTATGATGTTAAATAATTTGTTACATTTCCTATTGATTATTTACAGGTTTTTACAACACTTTTATTTTTTATCATGTGGCTGCAACAGCATGTATGTCAATCTAGTGCGGCACAACCTAAGCAGGTATACATAAATACAGTCCCATTCAAAGATAATAAAATAACATAGTCCAACATTATCCACACCATGTGAAACTAAAAGGTAGATAATCTTGTTAAGTGAAGACCTGTGCTCTTCGTGCTTCCACCACCAATTTACAAATGAGCAGTCACCTTACAATAATGACCCCTGCATTACCAGTCAGGTCACAAAGTGCTTGCCCCCTTCTTGGGTAAAGAACTCTTGGTGTGGGTCATATATCCTTTTTCTCAGTTAGGTCAGTCACTCAAAAGGGCAGTAATCATGTATAAAAACAGAAGGCAAAATGTAGTGTTCTCTGTTTAAATGTCAATTTATTAGATACAGTACATTAAAATCCACTTACAATAGCTATCACTGAGACCAGTGCTGGTATGGGATTGCACATATCATATACATCCCGGGAAACCAAGATAGCTCTGGTATGATGTCACACTTCAACATTCTCCCCTCATACCTGTTAAGTCCGGGGTAGGGACTTCGTCAGTGGCTTGGTTGACTTGGTTAGACTGCAACAGCATTACTGGGCTTCATGCAGTCAAGGAAAACAAACCTAGAGGGAAGGATGTAGACACATCTGCAGCTTCATAAGGGCACTTGTGCTTGCTCTGCCCCCTATCTTTCAGTGCATTGGGGAGTGAACTCCTGAAGTCCCATTGCCATGGTGCAGGGAGCTGAAAGAAAAGTATTTGGAATCATGATATTGAACTGTGCTATAGTGTATTACTTTTATTGTTCAGTTTGCTGATGACCTATATAAAGTACTCTTATTCCATTTAGTGACACTTTAAGCATATTATGTGCAAAGAAATATAGTTTTTGTAGACTCAGAATGCTTAATTTAAAATTTTGGCTTGTAAGTGTTTACACACTTACACATGCAGATTTATTCTTTCATTATCGAGATAGATACACATTAAATATATTATATATATATATTATATATATATATATATATATATATGCCAAAAGTAATGGGGCGCCTACCTTTACACGCACTAGAACTTTAGTGGCATCCCAGTCTTAGTGCATAGTGCAATACTGAGTGGCGCACCCTTTGCAACTATAACAACTTCAGATCTTCTGGGAAGGCTGTCCAATTGGTTTTGGAGTGTGTCTATGAGAATATTTGACCATTCTTCCAGAAGCGCATTTGTGAGGTCAGCCACTGATGTCGGATGAGAAGGCCTGGCTCACAGTCTCCGCTCTAATTAATTCCAAAAGTATTCTATCAGTTTGAGGTCAGGACTCTGTTCTTCCACCCCCAAAGTTGCTCATCCATGTCTTTATGCGCAGTCATGTTTGAACAGGAAGGGTCTATCCTCAAAATGTTCCCACAAAGTTGGGAGCATGAAATTGTCCAAAATGTCTTGGTAGGCTGACGCCTTAAAGAGTTCCCTTCACTGGAACTAAGGGCCAAGCCCAACCCCTGAAAAATAACACCACACCAACACCCCCCCTCCTTCAAACTTTACACATGGCACAATGCAGTCAGAAAGTACCAATCTCCTGCAAACCGACAAACCCAAACCACGTCACCATGGAGGAGATCAGAACACCAGAATCCAATGATTTGGAGGGGTGTCCCAATACTTTTGGCAATATAAGATAATATATATATATATATATATATATATATATATATATATATATACACACACTAAAGTGTGTTTGTTTAATGTTCTCATTCAAATAACTTAACTTAACAAAATTGCAGCTTACCTTTTAAGATGCTCAGTTCTGGAAACTCCAGCACTGTAAGATCCTAATAGTTTTCTAGATCTTCATTCGCAGCTGTAACTAGATTTGAACACTGTCTGTCCTAACAATGGTTAAAGGTTTAGACTCATTTTGACATTGCTCTAAAATCTTTTTCCAAAAAAAAAAAAAAAATGCCGTGCTCAAGTGTATGTAATACAATTCAAAATTTTTACACCAAAGAATCTGACATAAATTACTAATATATAACAAAATACCACAGGGTGCACAAATAACACATGGTAAAAAAATGTACAATGTACAACAGTAAAAAAACTTTGATACAAAAGTCCACTGGATGAATTTGTGGTCCAACGAAGTGAAAAAAATCAGTCTTCTGTATTATCTTATAATATAGATCAATAAAGTTCTTTTATATGAAAAATTAAATAGTGTCTTATTTCTTGAATTCCACCACCTGAGAAATGTGCAGCATCCAGATGGTTCTCTAAGCCAACACCACTATGCACTCACCGGATACAAAACTGTACCATGCATATCATCAGATGATAATAAGGCTATTCCAGAAATACCAGGTCTCCATCATTCAACACTGTAGGGATTACCAAAAACCGATGACAGGCAATAGGTGGCAGCCGATTCCAGGTGCAGAAGCAGAGATGTGACGTCAGCACGTAACTTGATCCTGACGCGGTTCATGCAAGGCATGTCCTCAGGAGATTGCAACATAAAATCTAAAACCTTTACAGTCAGTCAGGATACCTTTTCCTGTGAAACCTCTAAAGTATAGGAAATATCTAAAGAAATATTTTCTAAGTATGCTGTGTGAATGGGAGCACAT